ATACATTAATACATGGCATCGGGCCTTTTGTAGGAAAAAGTAATTGTGACCTTTGGGGAAACATATTCAGTTTTCCACATAACATCAGCACAAGGTGTTGCATGTTGTTCATAGAGTTTGTAAGCTCTCTCTCAGCTGAATAACCTCCAGCCTCATCTGGAGACTATCAGAGAGGACAGTGAGACTTCTTCTCCGCTCCCTGAGAAAAGTGAGCTTGTCACTCGGAGAGACTTGCTGGAGTTTGGAACGACAGATGAAACAGACTGGAATAGACCAAAGACAGGCGGGGTGTGTGCATTGATTGATAGATAGCTAAGTGGTGTGTGACTTGTGCTTTCGCTTTTTTTCTGAGCTTAGACCAGAAGCAGGAATATTTGAGAATGGAAGCAAACCAAAATGCTTTATGAGGAGCTGAAAGAAACTCTCCCTGTGCTGAGAAGCATGTGAGCAGTGGAGATATTGTTGTTAGTTTGGAGATTTCTATACACCAACGTGTGTGAACAAGGTGTATTTGTGAGGGAGGTGACAAACCGTGTGTGTGTGATTGTGTGTGAAGTAGGAGGTGTTTCCGCTGAACCATGTGTTCTTTAAGGTGAAGTGGGATCTAACCTGTTATCCCCAACAACACCCAGCGCTGACAAATATACTCTCACCAGTTTTGTAGATGTAGAGTGCAGCGGTCTGAAGACATGCACATATTGTTTTTATGCAGCTATGCACGGATGCAGAGAATGAATGGCAACTATCAGAGTGTCGGAGCTCTAAATGTACATCTTCCTAAGGCTGTTGTTATCGATGAAAATACCAACCATACCTTTGAACCTTTTATTAATTGACTACACAATATTCTGAGTATTTTTCTTCCCCCATTGAGTTGTTTACTGTTAAAGCCAAACATAACAAAAACACCAGGCAATCCTCCTTTTACACATTTTAAACCACAAGATATACTTTTCATTTACACATGTTAACGTGATTGTACCACCAAGCCATCCTAAATCAAACACCTAGATCTGCTTTAATACGGTTCAATTGAAACCAACACCATAGTGAAGATGGAGAGGACTGTTTTCTGGATTTAAACCTTTTTTTGCTGTGTTCTAACAATGTGTTTTACTTCCCTCTCTACATCTTCCTGTCTCTCTTAACAGGCGATTATTTATGAAGGCCAAGACAAGAACCCAGAGATGTGCAGAGTGCTGCTGACACATGAAATCATGTGCAGGTGAGAATGGGTGCATTTGAATCTTTTTATTCTGCGTAAATCTTCCTCCTCTCTAAACTATCTTCAAACAGCTCATACTTTCCCTTCCATCCTCTTTCGTCGCCCCTCTGCTCTTCTTCCGCTGCATACTTTGTTCGTCTGCAGAAAGTTCTCACCAATCACATCTCTGCACTCGATACATTTCTTATTTTGTCACCCTCATTAACCCCCCCACACATACACGCCCAGACGCGTACACTCGCACACACATGAAGCCATATCTGTTGAGGAAGATGAGTTTTAGCTATCAGAGTCGCTGCTTAATTATAATCTAAAGATGAATTTTCCTCGGAAGTAGGTTGGCAGGAAAGATGTCTATTTATAGAGGCATTTTACCAACCTATCCTATACAAAAGAAAATGTGGATGTAGATTCATGTGAGCGGTGTGTGTGTGTGTGTGTGTGTGTGTGTGTGTGTGAGACGCCTGGTTAATTAGGACACAGAGAAACTCATTAGTCAATCTGAACCCTCCTGTTGTTTCAAGGCTAACAAATGGGCCTCCCTCTGCATTCTGACTATAAAATATAGGCAGGGTCTCACACACACACACACACACACACACACACACACACACACACACACACACACACACACACACAACATACACGAACACATATACAAAAAAGTATGCATGCTCCCTCATGCGCACCACAGTTATACAAATTTGAATGTGGCACATGAATTAAGTTGTTCTTATTCCCTGACCCTGTCACTGAACAGCTTTAACTGTAACAATATAAATTGGGGTTCATCTATATGCACAAGCACTGGATTTAGCCATGAAATCAGGCACAGCAATATTTTATTCTATAGCCCCCTGAATAATGCTCAGGCAGTTCAGCTGCAGAGCTTCATGGAAAAACCCTTTAAGATTCATATGATTTACAAGGAATTTATAAATAAATACAGATTTTATCGTAAATGATTGTTCTTCATCATGTTTGGGAAGGCATTTTGGACATTAATGAACTGTCCTGCATAACATGGTGAGCTTGTACTGTAGAAGTAGTCCAACATGTCCTCTGGGGGAGCAACAGTGCCGCAGCAGAGCAGAAAGTAAGACTTCTTCTTCAGCGTAAACACTCGCCTTACGCAGCAGCCGCTGAGGTCAAAGTTACGGCTGTTGCCTCATGTTCTCACATGCTGATTCTGCAGCAGGGGCCTCAAACACAACATGCTACGCAGAACGCACACGCACACACACACACACACACACACACACACACACACACACACACACACACACACACACACACACACACACACACACACACACACACACACAAAGAGCTCAGGGCGTCCATTAATCAGTGTGGCTCATTGTCACGGTGGTGCTATTAGCCATATGCTCCCAGCCAATCTGCCACCACACAGACCTGCGTCCTGGTTGGAGCTCCGGCACGAATTCATGAAAGGTTTTACTACAGAGGACAGATGTAGCTCTAGTGTTTTCATCATGTGTTCACCACTAATGTTGGTTAAACAAACAGTTATTCCCTTTCCAATTAAGGGTCTTAAAGAGCTGTATTTTCTTTGTCAGCTTGATCCAGCTCTTTATTGAAAGTATTTAAGTTTAAACTGAGTCAGGTATTCAAACAGAAGATTATCTGTCATATAAAATGGTCCATATATTATGTGTGTCTTTTCATATATGTAATGTCATAATAGAATATGTTGCCCAATGTAATTGGTTTCTTTGTAAACTTTTTTAAATTCCCATTTTGAAAAATGGTCCCAGGGCCAAAGAATTACCTCTTGAAAAGGCTTGTTATAGATATTTAAGTAGCAACTCCTCGAATTTGAGAAGCTGGAATCTTTTGTTGATCATCTTATAATTTCATATTACAACATTTCCAAAATGTATTTCTTACATTTTCACATACAGAACCTTTGAAAACGACATCTCTACAACTCACGCTATTGAGACTCTATTGTTTAAAAGTAAAAGTATGTGTGTGTGTGTGTGTGTGTGTGTGTGTGTGTGTGTGTGTGTGTGTGTTTGTGTGTGTGTGTGTGTGTGTGTGTGTGTGTGTGTGTGTGTGTGTGTGTGTGTGTGTGTGTGTGTGTGTGTGTGTGTGTGTGTGTGTGTGTGTGTGCTGGGAGGAGGGGAGATGCAGGGGGGAGAGAGCAGATGATTAGATCACCATGATCCAGAGCAATAAGTGCTACATTACCCCCGTCCCGCCCCTAGTTTTCCTGTCCTACCCCTCCATTTATAGTATCTTCCACTCTGCTCCTGTGTCGTCTCCCTACTGTACTCGCTTAATCTATCTATAACCCCCCCCCCCCTCACCCTCACCCATCCTCAGGATTGGGAGGGGTTACAATTTCAGTTACCTGTAAATAAATGTAATTGGTAACCTAATCTGAGTATCACAATACAAAAGTATTGTAACCCGATTACTTTTTGATTACCTCAATATCAAACGCCATGCAAATAAATAAAAGGGAAAGAAATATCAATGAGATGTTTTTAACTTAAGTGTTTTATGTAACACAACAGAACAATGTGACCTAAAATAAGAAACCAAGACATTTAGGATCGAAAATGTTTTATCTTAAATTTAGGCTAGGCCTACAGAATAGTAGAGTTTACGAGTGTTTAAGTTTAATATATTAATTAATTAAAAACTGTATTTTAAAAATAAATAAATCAGGTGTCCATCAACTACATTAAACATGATATTTAAATAATGAATGAAAGTAATCTAAATGGAAACCAGAAAGAAAATCATTACGTACGTCTACCTAACATATGTAATGTTTGACTTTAATGAAATGTATTATGTCAACAGATTTCACATAACTATATTAAGTTTGAATACAAATACTAGGTTCAACTCAATATAAGTGCTTTCAACTAACCTAATACAGTTATGTGACATTTGTTGACATAATACATTTCATTTAAGGCAATGCTTAAGTTTTTTCATAATCCCCTTACATGTAATCCATTACTCCCCACGACTGCCCATCCTTTCCTCCCAGCCCCGCCCTCCTCAGGATCAGCTCTCCCCTATAACCCTGCTCCCCATTCTCCCACCCCAGTTCTCCTCCTCTCTCTGGTTTTGGTCCTGACCCAGTTCATAGAGCAGCAGAAAGGAAATGTCAGAGCGAGCAGAGAGAAAGGCCGAGCAGCAGATAGTGGAGACAATGTGTAAGGTGTAGCATGTCAGTCTTTTTCTCTCCACCTCTGCCATCTGTGACGGTGGGAAACCTGAGTCGTCTCCCCTTCCTCTTCTTCCCACCCAAACATCTCCCCCTTCCCTCGCTCCCACCCTCTTGTTTTAGCTTCCCCTCCCACGCTCATCCCTTCAGTCTTCATCACCACTCCCCCTGCGGGCTCTATCCTTCCCCTCCCGCATACACCTTTATTCATAATTGATGAACGCAAGAAAGCTTTGACAGACTTGCAGTACATGTGTGAATTTTGGATCGTATGCCAGTGTTTTTTTATTGTGTGTGTGTGTGTGTGTGTGTATATCCCACCCTCTCCTCTTCTGAGCCTCAGGCCTCTTCAATTCTCTCCCCCTACCAACTCAACTATATTTCAGTACAATAGGATGGAGTTTAAGTTGTCATATAGTGTTTTGAAAGACATGCATGTCTGTCATAAATTAATTCAAGTAGCCTCTCGATTTTGAAAACAATAAGCCTTCAGGGGTTCAAAACAACGATGCGTTGCTCCAGATTTAACCGTTTCAAGGAGATGAAAACCAATGGGAATATAGATAGCTAAATTCTCTCACTGAACAATGCATTTGTTAAAATGTGTTTTACACACAAAATCTAGGTTGTTGTTAGGTTAACTTGTGGCTATATTCTATCATCGCTTTCCCTCCTTTCCTCCCAGTGTGTAAGAATAATTATTATAGTTGCTGCAGGGCATTATAACTTGAATGTGAAACAATGTTTTAAGACACTTGCTTAAACATCCGACCAAGAAACTTGTTAATTAATAGTGGAGGACTAAATTCACTTTCTTTGATGATATATCTGACAGTCATTCATCTGTGTATTCTGTGTGTTAGTGTGTTGCTAAGCCATCCAACTGTCTAGTCCCCTAATAAGTTAGCGTTTTCCTCTCAGATGTTACTATACGCTCACTTTGCATGTCACAGAAGTCTATTTTTATCCGTGCTGTCAGTGTAGACCTGCTAGACTTTCTGTAAAACTCAGTTTCAGACAGATTTGATCAATTTCTGTGAATATGATGTTAAATTCTTCACATCAGTGCAGACAAAGCACATGATATGCTGTAACACCCCCAAGTTTGAACTTGTGTATAAAGTACTGTATGTTGTTCACTGTGTCTGACTCTCTTCTCACTTTGCCCTGTGTCTTCTCCCTCTGCTGTCTCCTCTCCTCGTAGTCGGTGCTGTGACAAGAAGAGCTGCGGAAACCGTAATGAGACACCCTCAGACCCTGTTATCATCGACAGGTACTGTCTCACACTCGGTCTCTATCTTTGTCTCTCCTACACACACTTTCACATACTGGATGATGGACTGCATTGACCTGTTTGAATGGCGGCGTGTGACGGGATGTTTTGATGATCTGCTGTCACTCCTGAAATAGAAGCTCCTTTAGATAAAATTGATGTCTTCTGATGCAAGACAAATTGAAACATTGACTGAAGTTTTGGATGTATAAGTCAAACAGCAGGACTCATCAGTGGTGGGAAAAATGCTGAAAGTAGCCACACATATACTTCATTTACATTGGCATGTGCTTTTCTGTGATATAGTTAGTGACCTGCGCAGAGGCAACATCAGCTGCTCAGTTACTACCTGGTATCTGTCAGATTCAGACACACACACACACACACACACACACACACACACACACACACACACACACACACACACACACACACACACACACACACACGAGCGCACGTCTTCAGACTTGAGTGAACAAAGACAAGTGTGTGTTTCCTCTACGTAATGCAAAACACAGAGCTGTTTACTAGCAGAAGCTTTCTGTCGTTTTCACTGCCACTTCTTTCGGTCTGTCTGTCTGTCTGTCTGTCTGTCTGTCGAGGTGTAGTACTGAAGTTATCCCTCTGTCACCCCCCCTTCTTCTGCAAGTCTCTGTCTCTCCTGCAGCAGCACAGAAAAATGGGTCATGAGCAAAGACAAAAGTGACAGAGAAAAACTGAAATGAGATCCAACCTCATTTTAATCTGATTTCTTCTTGGCAGATGTTTTAACCCTCTGTGAGCAGATTTCTCTGTGTGCACGGCTGTGTGTGTGTGTGTGTGTGTGTGTGTGTGTGTGTGTGTGTGTGTGTGTGTGTGTGTGTGTGGTGTGTGTGTGGTGGTGTGTGTGTGGTGTTGGTGTGTGTGTTGTGT